AACTCATACAACTCAACAACAAAAAAACAAACAACCTGATCCAAAAATGGGCAGAGGATATGAACAGACATTTTTCCAAAGAAGATATACAGATGGCCAACAGGTACATGCAAAGACGTTCAACATCACTAATTACTAGGGAAATGCAAATCAAAACTACAATGAGATATCACCTCACACCTGTCAGAATGGCTATAATTACCAAGACAAAAAATAACAAATGTCAGAGAGGATGTGGAAAAAAGGGAACCCTCATACACTGCTGGTGGGAATGTAAACTGGTGCAGCCACTATGGAAAACAGTATGGAGATTTCTCAAAAAGTTGCAAATAGGAATACCACATGATCCAGCTATCCCACTACCGGGTTTTTACCCACAGAACATGAAATCAACAATACAAAGAGAATTATGCATCTCTATGTTCATTGCAGCATTATTCACAATAGCCAAGACATGGAAGCAACCCAAGTGCCCATCAACTGCTGAATGGATAAGGAAGATGTGGTATATATATACAAGGAAATACTGCTCAGCCAGAGAAAAAGACAAAATCGTGCCATTTGCTACAACATGGATGACCTTGAGGGTATTATGTTAAGCAAAAAATGCCGGACAGAGAAAGACAAACACTGTATGATTTCACTTATATGTGGAAGATAAACATATGAGTAAGGAGAACAGATTAGTGGTTACCAGAGGGGAAGGGGGTGGCGAGGTGGGCGAAAGGCGTAAAGGGGCACATATGTATGGTGATGGATGAAAATTAGACTATTGGTGGTGAGCACAATGCAGTTTATACAGAAACTGATAAATAATAATGTATACCTGAAATCACACAATGTTATAAACCAATACGACCTCAATAAAATATTGGAAAAAAAAAGAAATAATCTGTCATATTTTCAGTTCCTAATATCATTTACTTCCCCATATCCTGCTTCCATTTAAAAAGAAAAAAAAAGACTATCATGTTTAGGCTCTGGGCATGCTTTGGACCAAAGCTTATTTTCCTATACTATACTCTTCATAGATAATCCATCCTGTTTTATATATCATTTCACTCAATTTTTCTTTTATAAAAAATGAGTTCATCTACTTGAATGTATTATAGAAGGTTCAAGTTAATAAGTCACAAAATAATCTGGAAAATTATAATTATCTAATCATATTTCATATATAAATGTTAACATAAGTTTTGACAGATAAATAGCTATGATCCAATCCTGCCCTCTACTGGTTCCAACGTGTAAGTGTACAGCTCAAGCGAAACAAAGCACATGCTCAGTGATAACAGAGTGGTTGCACAGGAAATTTACACTAATCCAAATTTTATTAACATAGATAACTGACTACATAGAAGGTTATAACTCACACAAGAGATCCATATGTTTCCTGGCATTTAAAAGACAAAGTCTTGAATCTTTTTTTAGAGTAAATGGGTATATTTACATTCAGATTTCAGCTCCTGCATTTTCCCAGCCTCCTTTAGCTATAGTTACTGATGCTTTTCATTTGTAGATTTAGCACTGTTTAGTTCCAGTGAAATCCTCAACAGAATATAGAATATAGCAGTAGTCTTAGTCTTCCAGCAGGAAAAGGGTTTGCAAGAGTCTTGCTACGTTATAGCTAACATCTGAGATGAGCCCTGTGAACGTGCTCCTCCTTTCACAACTCTGCTGACTTACCTTTGGATGCTATGCATTGGCCTGGTGACAGCCCCTGTAATGGCCATTTCTACCAACTTAAAAGCTTTCCCAGTACCCTGTCCTAAATTGATCCTAGTTTCCTTAAACTGCCTCCCTGATTCATGTTCTTAAGGCCCCAACATGCTTTGTACCCAACTTACCTATTTTTTGGGAGAAAGTGTATTAGTTTCTTTTTAAGAATCAGTTTCTCTATTATGCCAAATATCTAAAATATTTCAACAGTTCCTTTCTGCTTTTAGAACTATTTCACACTTCATTCACAGAAATAAAGTGGATGTATTAGATTCAGTTTTCTTTAAAAGGCTCCGGGGATTTTACCTTGAAATGCCAAATTCTTGGTGAGGCCTTTTGCCATTATTGCGTTCCCACCTTGAAGACGACTGTTCAGTAGGTGGCAGAGCTGAAGTTCCTGAGCTCCTCCTCAGCTGTGGAGTTGGCAAACTATTCCTACTGTGTAGTCCCTGTTGAATAATTTAACAGTGGTTAAAATTGTCACCCTTCAATATGCTGTATATGTAATATTAAAGATGATACAGGAAAACACCAATACAAAGTATACTTTTAACATGTACAGCAGAAACAGAACATTTTATTCTGAAAATCTGTCAATTTTACCCCAAATTTCACATTCTATTCTGTTGTTCTACTTATCTTCCTCCTACTAAAAAATGATTTCTGAACTCCCTACACTTTAGCTAGATGTTTTTTCTTTTGTACAACTTACTCCTAGTTTATGAGAAATAAACTGATTGAAATATGTTTAAACTGACATTTTAAACATAAATAAATGGTACATAAGAAAGATTTACCCTGAAAAGAAACTTCAGAGGACGAGCTTAGGATCAGGTAAGATCAGCCCTATATCCTAAATTTTTTATCTTTTCAGTACAGTGCCAATATACACAGAGGTTAATCCAGAGAAACTGCAGGATTCTGAGCTACCTTTTAAATTAACAATTAAATTACATTCAGAGACCTTTAGTGCTAATATTTTGCCCTAATTTTTGAAAATATTCTCAATTAATCTAAATGTGCAGTTAGCTAGAATATTCCATTTTTGACCACTGTGAATAGGTGTTTTACTGAGATTCACATAAAACAGTTTCTGCTTCTTATGAACTTCCCTTATCAGCAGACACTGAAACCATCTCAGAGAGATAAATATCTCTTATATTTAAGTTTTCCCAAGGACGCTGATTTTGTAAAGGTTCACTGTTAGTTAGACTTGCAGTGAAAAAGTTCTTTATGTAACATAATCCTTTCTGGCTATAATTTAGGTCCACATAATCTTTCTTAGTTCTTCACACATATATAAGACATTTACATTAAGTTATCTGTTCCAATTCCCTTTTCCTTACTAATTATTTTTTCATAAATGCTGTTGCTCTTTTCTAAGGTAATATCAGGCTTTGCATACTCTTTTCCGAAAGCAGAGACAAATTAGATATGAAATTGAAGTTAGAAGTTTAAAGAACACAAAGAAAAGAATTAAAAATTACTTCCTGGTTCTTATATGACTTACTCGTGTCAGTAAATTCCAGTACCCAAAATAAGCCTGATTAACTAGACTGTTCAGGAAATGAGGCATGTAGGCATCCTGTTTAATTAATATTATTGTTTAAAATGTTTCTAAAATGTACCAGTACACTTTTCTACAGTAAACATAGTAACAAACTAATACTGATATATGATTTTTATGATTGAGAATTTTAAGAATTACTATTTTTGTGTGTGTGTGAGGAAAACTGGCTCTGAGCTAACATCCACTGCCAATCCTCCTCTTTTTGCTGAGGAAGATTAGCCCTGAGCTAACATATGTGCCCATCTTCCTCTATTTTGGTTTTTTTTGTGGTTATTTTTTGAGGAGGATTGGCCCTGAGCTAACATCTGTTGCCAATCTTCCTCTTATTCTTTTTCTCCCCACAGCCCCAGTACATAGTTGTATATCCTAGTTGTAAGTCATTCTAGTTCCTCTACATGGGGCGCTGCCTCAGCATGGCTTGATGAGCAGTGAGTAGGTCCACACCCAGAATCCGAACCCGAGAACTCCGGCCACCAAAGCGGAACACACGAACTTAACCACTACGCCACTGGGCCAGCCCCATAATTACTATTTTTAAAAATTACTGTTCTAAACCTCAAATGTCAATGGAAAATTACAAAGAAGAGCAGACTATCAAGTGAAAACTAACTCAAGAATATTAGAGTTATTTTATTGATGAATTCATTGCTATCCCTTTTTGATGCTTGTAATTAACCTTCCTCGTAGGTAGAGTGCTAGAAAAAATGCTATGTAACCAAGTACCATTGTTAATTGGGTTTTGACAAATGCAGGTGCTACTGTACACACTTTTTAAAAATAAAAGTCACATAACTACCTATGATCCAGATCTGTGATCGATAATTTTCAAATCCTTTTGCCCTACTTGGGCTTCTTCATTTTTCAATATTTCTAAACCCTAATGCTGAGAACTAACAAAATGAAATTAATGATCAAAATCCCTCCAAAAACTATATTTAACTTTTTCCAAGCTCTAATACACTATTACAATGAACAAAATTAACTGATTTGAATTTCATCTTCTCTTGGTTTATCTGTAGAATAAAGTGGTTCAACTAGAATAATCTCTAAAATGTTTCTATTTTTAAAGTTTTATGATTTTAGCTATTGGTAAAGATATTGATAAATAGTCAAAAAAACAAGTAAAAGCACTCCGAACAAGCATAATGTATACCATTTAGAATAGTATTTATTATTTTCTAAAGGAAATCTTATTTTGAAGCACTGATATTTAAAGAGAAATTAATCCCATATCTAATGATGGAAAAATCGATGCCTATTGGGCTATAGCAATCTCCAGTGGATAAAGGGGGTAAAAAAAACAGAATTCAACAATATGTAAAAATATATTTAAAATAATGCTATGTAATTCATAAAATGAATATTATGATAATCATTTCTTCTTAGTTCAACAAGAACAATTCCTGGATTCTGAAGAATAAAATAGATTAACAACATGTTTTGACTACTAGTTTGTTGGAACTACTAGTTTGCCTACTACAAACTACTAGTTTGCCTGGAACTAAATTTGCTTGTTGTTCTCTACTTCTTAACAACAACAACAACAACAATAAATAGTTGTTACCAATGAAGTTATAACTACTAATTATAGCAATGTTATTTAGAATAAAAACTGAATACTCGTTTAGAATTATTTGAGATTATATCTACCTCTAAAACCCCAAGCAGCTCAATATACTGTAAAAGACGCTGGTCCTTGAAAGAGAAATTCTATTTTATCTAAGATTTAAAGGAGCAGTTTTGATTTGAAAAATATCATTAAATGTGATAAACAGGGTTGGCTGATTACTGTATTTTGACCTTGTGAAGTTTTCGATCTCCTTTCTCCGCTGGGTCCTCTATTTCAGAGCAGGGGTAAAATCCAGGAAAGGGTGTGAGAGGGTTAATCTTTGGCCTACAGGAACCTGAGAAAGCACCCATCAGGCTACTGATACTCCGCAGGGAAGAAATGACTTGTGGGGGAAGGGTTGGATCAACCAGAAGATCTGACACCATATTGCGAGCCTCATTTAGCACTGAAAGATCAACTCCACTTCCACCTCCAGAATTCTAGAAAAGAAAAAACGTAAAATTATATATTTGTTACACAGAAAATTTAACATTTAATAAAAACTTACTCTATTTTAAATCAAGGTCTATCTAACAATATCTAAGTAATTTAAATCCTATTAATTTTCATTTATTTGGACATGGCATAAATGATATAACAAACGGTATAATTCTAATATACAAATTTGTGATGTCGAAGTACGTAGCAGATATTGTGAACTTTTTTTCTATATTTTTCATTAGCTTATCTCATATTTAACAATATTCATTACTGACTCACTGACCGACTTTACAGTATGGAACCAAATTTGTATTTATTTCAAAATGTATAATTTGGACACTTCATTAATTTATTGATGCTTTCCTTTCTTTTATGTTAAAATTTCTTTTAAACCTATATAGCATTTCTTTCATTTACCTTACTTAACAGGCAGTTTAGCATAGTGACAAGGCTTTGTTGCGAAGACGTCTAAGTTTGAAATCTACACTTTAACCCTAACTGTGTGACTTTTAGCAAGTTATTTAACATCTATCTGAACTTCTTAGTTTCTTCACTCTAAAATGGGGACAATAACATCTACTTCATTCAAGTCTGATATAAGAACTAAATCTGATAATACATGTACAGCACATAAGGCAACGTATAGTGCATATATTTAAAGTGCAATAAATAACACTATTACGGTTGATAATATGGAAAATGATGAGATAAAAATACAGAAAAAATGGTGTCAAAATTCAAAGGAGATAGTGATAACTTCAAACTGAATGATTAACAAAAACTTCATGGAAGGGATAGCATCAGGCTTGGCCCTAAAAAATGGGTAGGAAATATATTTTTTCAATTAAGAATAAATGTTTCATTGATGTATGTATACACATGATTTTTACTTTTTGAAAATACATATATATCGTGTTCAACTCAGTTACCCATAGCAATAAGTACACGGATAATCAGAACAGTGAATTACATTTTACTTTTGTTTAACTGTAGATTGAACTTACATTTGGGTGTGTTTTGAATTCATAATTATTCAAAGTATTTAATGAGTTCACCATGAAACTGTTTACTAAGTATCCTCAACACATTTTGGAGAAATATTATGCAAGTTACACCAATAATTAGCTAAATAATGTTTTTGCTCTTTGTGAAATTCTTTTTTTTATTTGTGAAGTATTATTTTGTATTAGTTTTTATTTTAAAACATTCTGTATTATTGGGGCACAGACCAGCTATTTCTAGTCTTTATAAACACATACCTCTCTATATATGTCACTATAGATAATTAAGCATACTTCCAAGGAATAGCTTCCCATAACTTGAATCGCTGAACCAAAGTAAATGAACATGTTAAAATTTGATCATTACTATAAAACTGCCCTTGCATATGTTGGTCAAATTTATACTTCTATGAGTTATATATAATAGCATCTATTTTCCCACACCCAGATAAGAAATCTGCTGTCATTTGAGTTGCTGTTGCCCTATAGGTAATGTGTTGTTTCTCTCTGGCTGCTTTCAAGATATTTTTTTTTCTCCTTATTTTTCAAAAATTTAATTATGACATATCTTGGAGTGGATTTGGGGGAGGGCGGTGATACTAGTTGCAGTTCACCCAGCTTCTTGAATTTGTAAGATTACATCTTTTGCAAAATTTGGGAACTTTTCAGCCATTACTTCTTCAAATACTCTTTTAAAACCCACTCTATCTGCTCTCCTTCTCAGACACTGATGATACGAATGCTGGCTCTTTCGTTATTGTCCTTTAGGTCCTTAAGGCTCTGTTCATTTTGTTTCCATCTATTTTCTCTGTGTTGTTCAAGCTGGGTAAATTCTATTGATATACCCTCAAACTCACAGACCCTATCCTCTGTCATCTCCACTCTACTATTGAGCCCATTCAGCAAGTTTTTAATTTCCATTATTGTATTTTTCAGTTCTATAATTTCCATTTGTTTCTTTTTTATAACTTCTATTTCTTTGCTGAGATTTTCTATTTTGTTATTTGTTTCAAGAGAATTTGTAATTGTTTGTTAGAACATTTTTATGATGGCTGCTTTAAAATTCCTTATCAGATAATTCCAAATCTGATTCATCTTGGTGTTAGCATTGATTGTCTTTTCTCATTTAAGTTGTAATCTTCCTCATTCTTAGTATGACAAGTGATTTTTTATCATCAACATTTTGACTGTTATGTTAGAAGACTCTGGGTCCTATTTAAATCTTTATATTAGGAGGTAGTCTCCCTGTTTAGATTTAGCACACAGGTCCTGGTCTACTTTTTCAGGCTGTGGTTCTAATGACAATTTAATTTTCAGAAAAGTTGCATTCAATGGTATTTCAGGCTGCTTGATTTTTTGTGGTGCCAAGGTCCCTCTGGAGGAGAGGAGATGGGAGGGGGTAGGAGGAGCTTCCTCACGTTGGGCCACCTGGTACCTCTAGGTGGGGGAAAGGAGTCTCCAGAACACAGGGACAAAAAGCACTTTCTGGGCTAGGCACTGGTGGTGGTGGTATCCCCCTTGCCAGGCCCCCTAGCCACCCAGTGTCTCTCACTAGGGAAGGGGAGTCTTACGCCCAGTAGGGAATGAGAGAACTTCCCATGGCCACTTGTCAGTGAAGTTCCCAATCAATCCCCCTTTGCTGGAGCCACCAGACTCATTTGGTGGTGTTGGCAGTATTCTCATTCAAACTCAGGGAGAGAATGAGCCTACCTGCATCAATATTCTGTTGCTATATTGGAAGCTGGGGCTTTGGGTCACCTTTTGCTGTTGGGTGGGCATCATAAAACAAACTCTACTACTATGTTGTTCCTCTATTACTGAGATCCCTAACTAGTCTACCCTCCTCTTTCCATTTTTTAGATTTCTCACTTGGTTGCCTCTTGCATTATTTCCAGAGTTTATAGTTGTACTTAGCAGAGAGGAGCAGAAAAAATTAAATCTGATGACACATGCAGAGCACATAAAGCAATGTATAGTATACATATGTAGAGTGCAATAAATATTATTATTATCATTAATATTATAGAAAGTGATGAGATAAAAATAGATAAAATGGTATCAGAGGTCAAAGGAGATACAGATAACTTTAATCTTAATAGTTAACAGAAACTTTATGGAAGAGGTAGCATTTGAGCTAAGCCATTAATTTGATAGGATTTTATTTAGAAAATACTTTTTTACAACAAAATTAAACAAAAAAGTATTTGGGGGGGCCGGCCCAGTGGCGTAGCAGTTAAGTTCACGTGCTCTGCTGTGGCGGTCTGGGGTTTGCAGGTTCAGATCCCAGGCACAGAACGAGGTACCGCTTGTCAAGCCATGCTGTGGCAGCATCTCATATAAAGTAGAGGAAGATGGGCACAGATGTTAGCCCAGGGCCAATCTTCCTCAGCAAAAAGAGGAGGATTGGTGGGGCCGGCCCAGTGGCGCAAGTAGTTAAGTGCACGCACGCACTCTGCTGCGGCGGCCCCGGGTTTGCCGGTTCGGATCCGGGGTGTGCACCGTTGCACTGCTTGGCAAGCCATGCTGTGGCGGCGTCCCACATAAAGTGGAGGAAGATGGGCATGGATGTTAACCCAGGGCCAGTCCGCCTCAGCAAAAAAAGACGAGGATTGGCAGATGTTAGCACAGGGCTGATCTCCTCACAAAAAAAAAAGAAGAGGATTGGCAACAGATGTCAGCTCAGGGCTAATCTTCCTCACAAAAAAAAAAAAATGTATTTGGGGGAGCTTATTCTTCAAAAACGGGAGAGCATAAATAAAGGTAAAATAGTGATGTACATGGAACATGAAATTATTAAAGTATAGGCTATATTAAAAAAAAAAAAGAGCAATGGAAAATAAGGTTGGCGAGGCATATTGGGACCAAATTTTTGAGAACACCGGATTCTAGGCTAAGGAACATGGGCAATGGAGAATCATGGATTTTGAACAGGTTAAAAAGAAGAATAAAGCAAGGAAAGAGAAAAGAAGTGATGGAGAGCACTGAAATTTTAGAGAGCATAAGAAGACAACATTTATATTAAGACCTGACATAGATGTGGGAAAACAGCACTGCAGCCAGAGAGACTAGCAAGTGCGAAGACCCAGATGCAGAAGCCTGCCTGGCTTGTTTGAGGAATGACAAGGAGACCAGTGCAGCTGAAGCAGAGTAAATGAAGGAGAAAACAGGAGAAGATGAGGTCAGAGAAGTTAAAGGGAGTAAAAGAAAAGACCATATCATGTAAGTCTTTTAAGTCCATGATAAGGATTTTAGCTTTTATTCTGATTGAGATAGAAGAGTAGTGAGCAAGAGAGTGACATACTATGACTTATGCCAGATCAAATTGAATATTCAAATTATTTGCTATAATTTTAAAAGTTGAAAAATTCCTATTTCCCACTGGCTTATATTTGGCAAACTCTTGTTTTTGTACAGAGAGCTAAGAATGGATTCTACATTTTAAAGGATTATTGAAGAAGAGGAGGAAGGGAAAGTGAGAGGGGGAGGAGGAGGAGAAGAAAAAGAAGGAGGTGGAGGTAGTGACTATACGTCAACTGCAAATGCTAAAATATTTACTATCTGGCCTTTATAGAAAAGAATTTGCTAACTCCTGTCTTATACAACCATTTCAGAAATGTTTAGTATTTATTATTATTGAAATTAATATAATATTAGGTCACATTTTTATTGAATGCTACTATATACCAGGCACACATCATTATTATTATTTTTTTTAATTTTATTTATTTATTTATTTTTTCCCCCAAAGCCCCACTAGATAGTTGTATGTCATAGCTGCACATCCTTCTAGTTGCTGTATGTGGGACGTGGCCTCAGCATGGCCAGAGAAGCAGTGCGTCGGTGCGCGCCCGGGATCCGAACCCGGGCCGCCAGCAGCGGAGTGTGCACACTTAACTGCTAAGCCACGGGGCCGGCCCTGTTATTTTAATCAGCCCTCTGAGGGAATTGGTATTATTCCCAATTTAGAGATGAGGAAATAAGTTCAAAGTGACTTAAGATGCTTGCCAATTTTTCAGCTAGGAGGG